TATATATAAAATATGTGGAATGCATTCCAGTATTTTGGTATTTAAAAAGTTAGTCATAGCCTGTTGTCGGTGAAATTTATTTTACTTAAATGGACTTAAATTAAAAAAAAAAAAAGTTTGAAAAGTGTGCTTGTGGTATCATTAAAAAATTTAATAAAATAGATTTAATATTTTGTAATCCAGTTTAATGGCATTCATACACTTAGAAGTTTTGCTTAAGTGTCCAGATATGTTTTGAGGTCACTGTATAGCAGGAATCCTCAAATCTGCCCCACAAGTTCCACTTTCCTGCACAGTTTTGCTCTAACCCTAATCAAACACACCTGAGCGAGCATGCTGATCAATGTCTTCAGCATCATTAGAAAGTCTCAGGTAGGTGAGTTTGATCAGGGTTGGAGCTAAACTCTGCAGCACATTGGCCCTCCAGGGTAAGATTTGAGGAACCCTGCTGCATAGAGATATTACATATATGGAATGCATACCAAAATTTTGTCATTTTAATATATTAAAATACATGCTCAACAAACATCTTGTTTTTCTTCTATAAGTTCCTTTAATAATACTTAATTATTTTTGTTAATTCTTGTCAGTTTGCACTGGTCAGCCCTACAGGAGAGCAGTATGACTGTTTACAAAAGCAGCTGCGAGAACGAATAGAGGAAGGATGCGGAGAAACCATCTATGTGGTTGGGATGGGAACAGGTGAGACGTGATGTGTCACAAAGCTTATTTTTATTGAATAGACAAACATGTTGCACCAGAAAAAGTTACCATTGTCCTTTATTGTCTTTTTGCAAGTCCATGCAACAGTGACCCTGTGACCTCTAGGGTTGGTTTAACCAGATTGTGTACTCTTGCCCATCAAGCCTTTTTGCATTAGTTTCAGAAACTGATTTTGACTTTCCCAGACGAAAATGTTCGATTTAGAAGTGCTGATTAATTATTGGTGTCTCTGTCTCAGACGGCGGTGATTATGGTCTGGATGAGCGCGATATGGAAGCATCTGTCGCTACAGTGCAGTCACTTTGTGAACAGGTTGACACCGACCTGATTCTGCTGAGAGAGAGGACAGAGACGGCAGGATGTGTCCGCGATTATCTCATCCGGCGCCGCGTGGGAGAGGCCGACTTCCTGGAAGTCAGGTTAGAAGAGGTTTTGCAAAGAAATTATATACAAAAATTGTATATTTTTGTTTAAAATCATTTCTTTCCTCAGAGTTGCGGTTGTAGGTAATGTAGATGCTGGTAAAAGCACACTTTTGGGTGTCCTAACCCACGGCGAACTCGACAACGGTCGCGGATTCGCTCGCCAGAAGCTGTTCCGCCACAAACACGAGATGGAGAGTGGCCGGACCAGCAGCGTTGGCAATGACATCCTGGGTTTTGACCAGGAAGGGCATGTGGTCAATAAACCGGACAGCCATGGGGGTAGCCTGGACTGGATCAAAATCTGCGAGAGGTCGTCGAAGGTCATCACTTTCATCGACTTGGCGGGCCATGAGAAGTACCTGAAGACCACCGTATTTGGCATGACTGGCCACCTACCGGATTTCTGCATGCTAATGGTGAGAGGGGGTAGGTGTACCACAGGTGTACGTACTCGGCGGTTCAATGTTTTATGAATTCTATCTTTTTCTGTGTCGTAAAGGTGGGAAGTAACGCGGGAATCATTGGCATGACTAAAGAGCACCTAGGTCTCGCTCTGGCCCTCAATGTTCCTGTTTTTGTAGTTGTAACCAAGATAGACATGTGTCCCGCTAACATCTTACAAGGTAATGCGAATCTCTCATCACAGAAGTTTAATCAACAGCATTTGTGGCATAATGATCATTAGTAATAATTTACAGAAATAATTTATAATCTATACAAATTTTGTAAGATTCCAAGGACATGCAAATGTTTGTATGATTTTTTAAATGTTATTTTACGGTATAACCAGTATGATATAAATTTGGTATAAATCTTACATTTTTAATTATTATTTTTTTTAATTGGGTATCAAAACATAAATTCTGATCATATAACACTTTTGAAAAAAAAAAAAAAAACATTTCGAATACAGCTGTATTTGAAATGTTTTTGAATATCAGCCTAATCAGACCGAACCTGTTTTTATTCTATTTTATTTATAAAAAAATATCTTTAATAAAGCAAAATTGCAGTTACAGTAATACGCCTACAGTACAGTAATGCACTTTGAAAGTAAATTGGACAAGCATTCCAGAGGGTTAAATAACAGAAATTTTAAGCTTGTATTTTAGCTAAAACACACAAATTATTACTTTAATTATTTTTTGAGTGTAAAGTTGTTTAAATTCTGCGGTTTCTCTGTGTGGATGGACTTACGCAGTTGTGGCGTAATTCCTGTGTGTTTTTGAAATACTGTATATGCAAGTATACTTTCTGGTATCCTTGTACATATTGTGCAAACAGTTTTTAGAGTTCTGAAGTTATAAGATACAATATAACGAAATTAAAGTTAAATTTATTTCCTGTTTTAATCAACAATATTCCACAAATGCTGTTGAAAGTTAATGTGAAATATAGTTCATGTGTATGTTTTTTATAGACACATTTTTGTGTGGTTTTGTATTGCAGAGACGCTTAAGTTATTACAGAGGTTACTCAAGTCTCCAGGATGCAGAAAAATTCCAGTTTTGGTGCAAAACAAGGATGACGTCATTGTTACCGCCTCAAACTTTAGCTCAGAAAGGTAATTTTGCTTTATTTTTTCCTGTAGGACGATAAAAAAGCCAAAAAAAACATAAACGTACACTTAGGATGAGCCTCGCACTTTCCTGACCTAGGCCACTAAATTTTTTTTGGCCTAGAACGCCATAAAAAATCTTAACCACATAAAAACTGTAAAAGTTGAGATTTAGTCACACCTGTGTATAGAGTTCATGTAAACAATTAAATTGTTTACATGAAAAAACGTTGGAAATCAAGATGCTCTTTTGCCCAATTAATCGTTATAAAGCGTCAACTTCAAACAAGGTATTAATATCATCTGAAATAATGAGAGCATATTAAACCAAATCATTATTTGTGTGTGTAGGATGTGTCCAATTTTCCAGATCTCGAATGTGACGGGTGAAAACATGGACTTGTTGAAAATGTTCCTGAACCTGCTGTCTCCCAGAACGACATTTAAAGACGACGAGCTGCCAGAGTTTCAGATTGATGACACATATTCAGTGCCGGTACAACACACACTGTCTTTGTACTTCTGTCTACCTCTTTCTCAATCGTTTGAGCTTCTCGCATGTTCTTCAGGGTGTAGGTACTGTAGTATCAGGGACTACTTTACGTGGATTAATACGGCTGAACGACACACTGCTCCTCGGTCCAGATCCTCTGGGCGTTTTCATCCCCATCACCGTCAAATCCATTCACCGCAAGCGCATGCCTGTTAAAGAAGTGCGCGGTGGGCAGACGGCCTCGTTCGCCCTGAAGAAGATCAAGCGCTCATCGATCAGAAAGGGAATGGTGATGGTGTCGCCACGCCTCAACCCACAGGCATGCTGGGAGTTTGAGGCAGAGATTCTCGTACTACACCATCCGACGACGATATCGCCAAGATACCAAGCTATGGGTAAGCAGAAGAGACAAATGTTACATATTTGACTGAATTTTTGTTACTCGTGATATTAAATACTTAACATTTTTATACAGTTTTAAATATTTCATGAAAAGATTCAAAATAAATAGTAGACTGAATATTTGTTTATTATGATAAAACTTAAGATAATTTTTTTGTATTCTATATTAAACATTTTTTTTAAAAGATTGAAAATGAATTTTTTTTCTTGTGATATTTAAAACATGTGTTTGTTGTATAATATATATTGAACATATATTTAAATCAAAATATAAATCAAAATATTCAAAATATGATATTTGGATTTTTAATGCAACAAATATTTATTTAAAATTTTGCTTATTTATAAATCCTGATATCACATAATTTATACTTACACAGAACCAGAAAGAAGTACCTAAATGTGTATGTATGTATATATATATATATATTAAAAATATGAACAATTTTTAAATAAATTGTTTTAATTAATACATTTATTTATAATTTATATATAAAAACATTTGAGATATATATATATATATATATATATATATATAT